GCAGTGCCCTGCATGTACACACATCGTGTGGGGTGATAAAATCGTTCTAGAACATTTTATACTTGAAGATGTGTACCTTGGAATATCGTTTACAAGGAAGGTTGGGATAAAACTTAAGTCCACTATTTGTGGGCATCAAGCCACGAATACAACACCAATAATGATAAAGATAACACTACAAATGTAAGACACCAGTCCAATATAACACCACTATTGTAATCCACCAATACAACACCACTAATGTAAGACACCAATACAACTACACTAAAGAAAGACACCAAAACAACACCATTAATATAAGACACTAATAAAACACCATTAATATAAGACACCAATTTAACACCACTAATATAAGACACCAATACAACACCACTAATGTAATCTACCAATATAAAACCACTAATGTAATACAACAATACACCACCACTACGTAATCCACCAATACAACACCACTAATATAAGACACATATACACCACCACTAATGTAATCCACCAATACACCACTATGTAATCAACCAATATACCACTATGTAATCAACCAATATACCACTATGTAAAATGTAATCAACCAATATACAAGTCTAATTAGAACTGATGTATGGGTCAGCAGAAGAACAGGTGAATTAATGAGCTCCTAATGAGAAGGTAATAATTGCTGAAACATGACGCAGTTCATTAACATAGAGATTGCTTTTTCTCAGCAAATTCAGCTGTTATTTCAGCAAGAAAAACTGAAGGGGGTGGGGTAGGGGGGGGGGGGGTTACAAAACTATTCAATTAAACTGAAATGTAGGGAGATTTAAAACGTTTCATTAATGAGCGGAATTGTTAGCTTTTGTATTTTTGTAAATACACAAAGTTTGATTTCATGGAATAAATACAACAGTAGTTTGATGCATGGAGTAAGTACAGAGGTAATACGCGACAATAAAGCCTAAACGTTACTTTGAGCGTAAGCCAGACAGCTAAAATGTAAGCCAGACAGCTATAATGTAAACCAGATAGCTATAATGTAAGACAGACAGCTATAATGTAAGACAGACATGTAAGACAGACAGCTATGATGTAAGACAGACAGCTATAATGTAAGACAGACAGCTATGATGTAAGCGAGACAAAAGAAATCTTACCTACCAATGCGAATGTGGCCGTACAATGACGCACAAAATAACAACATAGGGGACGTGTAGTGGAATAAAATCAACGCTGGTTGCGTGACTTGGGAGATTGCGACGTCATGGACGGTTACGTCATGACAGCTCATTGTGCTGGTCACGTGACAGTGAGCCCGTCCCCCACCCCTATTGATGTTGTGCCCTATTATTTTATTTTATTTTTTTTGCCTCGCATCACGATAAAAATAAAATGACAGCCGATGAAGAACTAAATCTCGCACCATACTCTGAACGGTCTGATAACGTTGCCATGGTCACGTGGTCAGGGGTAGCCAGTCATTAGAGATTAAGGCTTGACCTCGTGCGTGCCGGGTTTGCAGTTGCCTAGCAACCATGCCGGCCATTTCCAGTTATTAGTGTCAATTATTTCGTCATTAATGACGTAACAGTACCGCTGATCCGCTGCTTAAGCCTATTTGATTGGACAAGACGCCTCGTGACGTAACCAAGACGTGTGTGCGAACATGCACGAGGTGGCGTAACAATGGAGAGTGAGGAGGGGAGGGGGGAGTTGATTCAACTATGATGTAAATTTTTAAAACTAAGCTACTAAATAACATCTGTATTCGCGTGTGTTCGCAACGGTTTCCTACTGTTCTGTATAAAAAAAATTAAAAATGTAAAAAAATCCCTGGGCTAAGTCAACCGTGAAATTAACGCCTCAGAACATCGTGTGCTACGTCAACCGTGACGTAACCGATTGGATAGCGGTACGTAGCGCGTGACGCCCTGATGAGAATTTCGGAGCATGAAGCTTGTCCTAGACCTAATTCGTTTATCAACAAAGTCAAACACACATTCTGTAAGAGCTGTTTATGGTATAAAGGCGTATGTTATTGGCCTATGTCGCATGTCAATAGTTGAGTTCAATCCAAGAATAAATCTTCTATAATATCTAAACGCGATCTCTGAAACCAAGTGGCCAGTGTCTCTGTCAGGCATATCTCCGGAGTCGATGTGGGAGGCACTGACAACAGAGTTTCTCCCTCCCCCCCCCCCCCGAATTTTTTTTACCGCCCCCCCCCCGAACGAAATGAAATTTATATAATTTATATAGAAAATATATACTTTTAACAGTGTCCGCCCCCCCCCCCCCCAAGAAAGTCTACCGCCCCCCTCCCCGAAAATTCCAAGTGCCCCCCCCCCCGGAGAAAAAAGTCTGGAAGAAACAATGACTGACAACCCCCCCCCCTCGAGCACGTCTACCAAACCAGAAAAAATGGGGGGGGGGGGAGATATAGAGAATAAAAACTGTTAACACTCCCCTCTTCAAGCGCCCCACCCCCCCCCCCCCCCTCCCTCCAGGAAAAAGTGAAACCCTGCAAATAGCAACCTCCGCTCACCAACCACAGGTCAGTGACGTAACGTCCGACCTAACAAATGTCCCAAACGAGCCCTGTATATCTGTATCTGTACCCCAGATAGGCTCTGTGTACACGACCTTCTGAGCTCCAATATAGCTCATGTAAACTGTGAGGCGCCCTCTATCAGCTGTCGGCGCGTGACGCAGCTAGACTGGACAGCAGGGGAAGATAACTGTGAAGGAGGGGCGTCTAAATATAGCACTCACAGGAAAAGTGAGTTAATTTCTGTATGGTGTCTAGGATAGTCCGGAGAAAGTACTGAATGACCCTCCAGAACATTATTAGTGCTACCCAAATCTCAAACATCAAATGTTAGTGGTTCGCTAACAGGGCATATGTAGTGGTTCCCTGAGAACATCACACAGCAGTCGGTTCCCGAGAACATCACACATCAGTTGTTCCCCAACTGAGAAGATCACACATTACAGATTCCCCCCATTACCCCACATCAATGGTCCCTACAACAGGACACGTACCACTACGATGTAGGTATAACCATAGACGAATGCTAATGTCGCCTATCATGTTGTGGTTTTCTTGACGAAATGTGTTTGCTGTAGTCAGACATTTGCCAGTAGGAGTACACAATTTTGGCTCAACACCGTTTTAAGAAAAACAAAAGGCCAATGTGGCCTATAACATTTAACTTTGATCTAATATGTTGTCCCGCTTTAAAGTGCTCACTATAAACATGGGCACGGGAAGTGGACACCTAATAAACAAGGTAAACAAGACTAAGTATGAAAACATAGACTTAAACACTGTTGTCTGTCTTCAGAAATGCTTGATGTTATTTATAACTCTTAACAGGACACTGTCGTAAATAGCATCAAGTATTTATGAAGACATAGACAAGACAGTGTTATAAATAGCATCAAGTATTTATGAAGACATAGACAAGACAGTGTTATAAATAGTATCAAGTATTTATGAAGACATAGACAAGAAACTGTTATAAATAGCATCATGTGTTTATGAAGACATACACAACAGTGTTATAAATAGCATCATGTGTTTATGAAGACTTAGACAACAGAGTACATGATAAGTGTAGCAAAGAAGGAAAACAAATCGGGTCACGTGGTTCGTGTAAAGTTTCAAGGACCGGCTTGTCGTCTCACCAACACACCCACTTCACGCTAAAGTACAGGCCCACTTCAGACAAGCCTATTTTAGACAAGCCCACTTCAGACAAGCCCACTTTAGACAAGCCCACTTCAGACAAGCCTATTTTAGACCAGCCCACTATAGATAAGCCCACTCTAGACAAGCCCACTTAAGACAAACTACCTTAGACCAGCCCACTTTAGAAAAGCCCACTCAAGACAAGCCCACTTTAGACTAGCCCATTTTTAAACAAGCCCATTTTAGACAAGCCTACTTTAGACAAGCCCATTTTAGACAATCCCACTTTATACAAGCCTATTCAGACAAGCCCACTTTAGACAAGCACACTCTAGACAAGCCTATTTTAGACCAGCCCACTTTAGACAAACCCGCTTTAGGACAAACCCACGTTAGACAAGCCCACTTTTAAGACCAGCCCACTTGATGAAAAAAATAATACAAGGCTTGGTACAAGAGCACTTCACAACATGGCAAGCTTGGCGCGATATTTTATAGGTCATTGCTACCACGCCCCCCCACCCACCCCCTCACCCACAGATGGTACCACTACAGCAGCAACAGCCGCGTGGCTGACCACTGGTTAAGTAGCCAGCATCCTCCACGTCGGGCGGTCAATCACCATCCAGTAGCCGCCCTCTACCCCCAACCACCGTCATTACTGCCAACAAAATGTGAAAATAATAACAGCACTGAAACATCCCGCACACCACTTTATTACAGTAAAATGTCCTGGCAATGTTACTGAATCTGTCCCTAAAACTTGCAATCTTAAACAGGCCTTAACTCGATCTACTCAGTCAAATAAATAGAAAATATAATTTGCGTCTGCACTAAGCATCTGTGTATTTTAATGCAATTATTTTAATTGTGTGAACACATGCGTTTTCCTGTACTGTATCTTTAAGAAAACTATAACGACAACCAATGCTAAAACTTAAATACGTGCACAGTGTGAAATAGAGTATACACTAAGACTCAGTCAAACAGAAAATTTATTGTGTAGCATACTTGTTTTTTATTGCTTTTATTTACTTTAGACATAAACACAGACCGGCATTATTTTTACTTTTTTTAAGACTCCTCCCAAAAATGTTTCATAAGCTACAGTTATAGTATAGTTTTTTACCATTAGATTTATCAATACAAAAAATTGTAGGCCCTATTTATTGTTTAATTTACTACAAAGTTTTAACAAACAGTTTACGTAATGTAACAGTTTTTACTTACTCACTATCTTTCTAAACTTATATTTGTGTGTAGATCTATTATTAGAGCCGCTTAGGGCATAAGCAAGATCTAATTTTTATATTAAAATATTAGCCAAACAACTTACATATTCTCGTCTGAATCGTCCATGTTTAATCTACGCCTTATCCAGCCCACTCATTGTGTGTAGTAATCCAGTTACGCTCCAGCGAATACGAGTTATGTAACACAAACCACGCGGCAAAGATGACACGGCCTTGTTTACATTTCTTTCACTTTGTCTTCCACAACACAGACCACATGCGTCTTTCACAGTTCTTTCCCTTCCTTACTCGGGTTTAGTATTCTTCTTAAAAATATTTTTAAGTGACGAAAATTTAACGAGTTTAACCCTACAATAAGAAGTCGAGTGGTAGGAAATAAACGCCGAGTGTGTGCTAACACAAAGAGGCGAAACACAGACACCGTGACCGAGTCGTGAGCACGGACAACACAGCTCGCGCGTGGGGCGAGCACACAGTGGCTGCCCTACTTCACGACAGCTGTTCGAAAACTTTTTTCGTCTCGCGGGGTTCTTCCCCTTGACCTAGCCACACCCACCCGAGCACCGCGGCAAATGGGACATGCGCCCTGCGGACACTTGCGATTGTTTACACAAGTAGCGGTGTCGTCACGACTCACAAAGGATTGGCGCTACATCGTTCCATTGTCTGTTGTCTCTATTGAAAGCACGTAACTGCGCCCATCTAGGTATAGGAATTTCTTTATAAAAGATTTTTAAAATAACAAGGTTTTTAACATCGGCTGCATATAATAGAATCTAAATGGTTTTTCAAAAAAGCAAACCGGAACACGACTAAATTCTAAATATATATCTTAGGTCTTATTACATAGAAATTCTAAAGAAACATAAATAGAATGACATGGTTCATCAAACAGGCACAAGTAGATAAAAGAATCTACGCATTGGGACATGTAGAAATACGTAGACGCCTGAATGTCAAGTTGGCATGTACTACACTTAGACATGGGAGATGACTCATGTCTAAATACAACCATACCCACTATTTATGTACGTTTTGTCATTCCGTCTGAGAGCAAAGGTTCTCACGCCATTTCACCATAATGTTAAACCATGTTAGACTTTGTCAACCACCTACAAGTAGCACCCCCCTCCCAGACCTCTAAGACCCCGACACCCTAACCCCAATGTTTCCATTTTAAAAGTTACCACAAATATAGTGAGTGTGAGTATCCTCACAAATTAAAGACATCTACAAGTACAGTGTACAAACGTCTACTGCACTTTAGCATAAACCTCACTACAACTACCATTTTCACATACTCAACACACTTAACATTTTAATAAATTTTATAAAAATACCACTAGCAGGGTTCATGCTCAAAAGTTCAAATAAAATTCCAGGAGTTTTCCAGGACTTTTCCAGGAGTTTAAAACAAAATTCAAGGAGATTTTAAAAACAAAAAAGAAACCCAATTTATACATTTTAAAAAAAAAAGCGTACTTAATAATACATTAAATTAGCTAAGCCAATGCAAAAATTTAATTTCAGTAAAAGTCAAACAGTATATTAGTTACATATTAGGATAGAGACTATAAATCTGACTACAGAACAGTTTGAATTTTCAAAATCTGACCATAAACAAAAAAGTTATGATTTTTTTTGTCATTAAAAAAAATAGCAGATTTTTCAGACAACCGGGATAGACCCTGAAAGAGGAAAAATACTGGGAGGGTATGGACCAAATTTTAAAGAGTTTTTCACTATAAAAGAGGTATAAATGCAAGCAGACTTCACCAATTAATATCATTTCGTGATATTTTATTGATTTTTGGATGCCAAATCCAATGATGCTAGGCTAGTCGGGCAACCCGATGAACGTTTCAGACGAATATTATGTAATTTCAGAGACAAAAGTCTGGCAAGATTTCTTGATCTATGCCCAAGGATTAGTAACATCAACTCCACAAAGTGAAGGGGGAAGGGAGGTGGGGTATGAAACCACCGTACGAGTGTTACACAACATCAAAGGCGACGATCGTCGGCTTTTCACGTCACGGCACGGAGTAGTGGGGCGGGTTGAGCTATGGATGTTACGTTGGGTGTTACATACCGTGTAGGATGGTCAGTGTCTTCCCCCACCCACCCCAGCCCATTTTGGTCGATTTGGCAAGCTATATTAAGCGTATTAACAATTTTTAGTCAACCGAAAAAAAAAAGAGCCACTGGAAATTTATTTTATTTTCTATAGGGCCTAGCCATTTTTACGAAAAATGAAACGTTACGCGAATCAGCATTGTTTGATCGGGTCGCAGCTATCCGGGTTTTCTAAAGAAGATTAATTTTGACGATTAGTCCTGAGCCGTAAATACTACTACAACTTGTTTTTGCTGTTTCAATAGTTTTAGACAAAGTATGCCTGTCTACTTTAAAAATCCAAAAGCCGACAAGTCAAACACGGGAACACATGTAGGCCTATCTATCTTTAGAAATTGTTTATAGTATCATCCAATCGGGTCAATCGCCTAGCGTCACGTGACCACACACTCGGCTGTGCTACACGATGTGTAGATCACGGCAGTGCGATTCAGTCGGACGACGGCCGATGCGTTTATTTTTATTTTCGTCCCATTTAAAAACTACTATTCAATTATTGGCGGAACAAAATCAAATAATTTCGGTCGGGTTTTGCGCAGCGGGTTAATAAAATTTCATGAGATTTTACGAGAATTTTTAAAATTTCAGGAGAATTCCAGGAGGTTTTGATATTTTTTCAAATTCCAGGAGAATTCCAGGAGATTTTTACGTTTTTTTAAATTCCAGGAGTTTTCCAGGACCTCCTGGAATTTCAGGAGGCCGCACGAACCCTGCACTAGTATTACTAGATCTGTGAACTTTGAACCCCAATCTTCAAAATGTTAAGAAACTTGAAATACGAAATTGTTGAAGACCTATTGATGTATGACCCCCACCTTTCATATTTTTGAGAACCCCTGCGTTAGCTCACGAACGAGAGACGGAAACTGACGACGGAAGGGCTGTGTGTGCGACAAGATACAAGCCAAGCTTAACGATGACAAATCAACTTAGATTTTTTAATTAACAGGTTCATTAATGAGTGTTCAGGATTTTGGACATAAACGATCAGCACGACTTCTCGAACCATTTCTTTATTTGATACAACAAAAAGACTGTCAATGATTCAGTCCACACCACACTGGAATGTTCTCAGTACTACTGACCAGTGTGAGCAGGGTTTAGACATTTTTCTCTGAGGGCTGGATGATTTGGGGGGGGGTGGGGGCATTTGAAATTCCATGGGTGGGGTGGTGAGGAAATGGTTCAAGTAAATGTTTCTATACAGACTTAATACTTTCTCTATTTCGTCAGAGGGGAATATGGACGCGCTACAGACTCTCTGCCCCCCCCCCCCCTCGCAATTCAGAGAATACAAACAAATACTTTGTGTGAGAAATGTGCATTAAAAATAAACATCCATTCGTCAGTGATAAGTATAGATCTATATAAAATAAACTAACGGAGAGGTAAATGATTAGCGAACAACAAAGAAAAAGATCGGTTTTTCGTTCACACCGCATCATGGCATGACCCAAAGAAAACGTTTCAGTGTTTTAATAACGTAATGTAACTTACCATATCGTCCTAACAAACAAAAAAATTCGCACTGATTATAAAGGATCAAATCTCCAAAATTAAGATCTCTTGAGCTTATACACTAGCACACACAAAAAAATCTAAAATATATTTTTTTTAAAGTAGCAAGCTTTAAACCGTTCTTAAAACGTATTTATAAAAAGTCAGGTAGATCTCACCTGGTGTGGTTGCGAACAGAGTACGACCAAGATTTTAACCCCCGGTGTTTTAAAAAATTCAGTTCCTTGTTGTAAATCTAGCACGGTGTGGTCACGAGGCTTAAATACCTTTACTCAGGTGTACGTTACGTCAGCAGGCACCAGCCACAATAAAATAATTTTATAACAACACATCACGTGGCTGTACTTGTAATAATTTTTTTTTATTGTGCTTTAGCTTAAACAGATACACTTTACAGAAAGATTTTGGTACTGTCGAGTAGCCATACCCTCAGATTCGAATAGAGTATCGCGATAACGGTACTTGAACTCTCGCCCAGTCAGTGTTTCTTTCAGACTTTTCTCGGGGGGGGGGCTTGATTTTTTCGGTGGGGGGAGGACGAACAAAATTTTCCCGGGGATGGGGGGGGGACACTGGTAAAAAGTAAATATTTTCTATATAAATTCCATTTCGTTCGTGGGGGGGGGGTGGAAAAGTAGCCTGGAAGAAACTCGTCCTAACCCCCATACCAACCTATAACCACTGTCTTTAATGAAAATTCTAACCGAAATAGATCTAGTAACCTTTTCTCTAACGCAGACGCGAAATATTTCCCAAACTCAAACGCTAAGCTTATCGCTATTTATAATAACGATGATAGACTTTACCCAAACCAAAAGTACAATTAATGAATTTTCCGATGATATTCGTAATCAATAATAGCTGAACATGATTTATACCCCGCAATACCCGCTCTATCATTAAGACACTCCACTCCTATTTTCGTCTGTTAAAAGAGATAAGTCTATAGGCCTACGTGAAATAATAAACGGTTACACAGATAAATATTGAACCTGAGAAACTCTTATCAACAAAATAAGATATACGCACTGTTGATATCTGGCAGAGGGAAAACCCGATATTTAAAAATTCTAATTTTAGCAGCTGACTGCTTACATTGACTCCCGCGGTGAAAGAAAGAATAAAAAGAAAGTTAAAAATAGATCCAAAACTGACGAGGTCAAAACAGCCGTTAAATTGTGTGTACGCTTCACCTGGGAAGTGAAAGGGAGGGGAGGGGGAAATACCCCCCTCATATGGAACTGTTTAAATATTTTACCTGGGAAGAAAATCTGAAAATTCTGGTACCACTGGTCTTATCGTAGATGGCTAGTTTTCTCTCTGGTCTAATACGTGGTACACACGAACTCATGCTGTGTTGGTGCATGGCACTGGTTAACTTTACACGGGAGGAGTTTGGTTTTTATTCCGCTTAAACGTGCAGCCAGTAGCACCGTTAACACTAACCCTAACCCAAGAACATCATTCCCTAAAAGAATAAACATATTTCCGAACCAGAATTTAACCTAAATCGTGTTTCATAGTCGGCGTGGTCGAGTCAGTAAAGGTTGCTAAACCGAAAAGTCTCGAGTTCGAACCCTCGGGCAGATGAGGCTTGTTAGCTGGGGACAGCCACTCTTCTAGGAGAGACAACTCCAAAATCAAACAACTGCTGCCTTGTAGTTTGTTCTTGGTTGGACAAAGGCTATGGAAGCAAATCCAAAAATAAAAGCAGGCTGAGACCGGAGTCAATGGCCTCAATGGCGCATAACCAGTTGACACGTAGCCTTAATTGTGCTGGAGGGGGATCCCTTCCAACACTAAATATAAGAACGAAGAAGAAGAAGAAGTCCTAACTCTATTTATGTCCATAAAC